AAACAGAACCATCAATCAATTAGAAATAAACAGGTCTGGTGAGGTGACTCATGCCTGTAATCTCAGCACTTTGGGAGGCTGAAGTGTGGATCACTGGAGGTCAGGAGTTCGAGACCAGCCTGGCCAACATGGCAAAATTGTCTCTACTAAAAATACAAAAATTAGGTCAAGAACCATGGCTCAAGCCTGTAATCCCTGCACTTTGGGAGGCCCAGATGGGCAGATCAGCTGAGGTCAGGAGTTCGAGACCAGCCTGGCTGACATGGTGAAACCCCGTCTCTATTAAAAATATAAAAATTAGCCGGGGGTAGTGGAGGTTGCCTGTAATCTCAGCTACTCGGGAGGCTATGGCAAGAGTCACTTGAACCTGGGATTTGGAGGATGCAGTGAGCCAAGATTGCACCATTGTACTCCAGCCTGGGCAACAAGAGTGAAACTCCATCCTCCCCCGCTAAAAAGCCAGGCGAGGTGGCACACGCCAGTAATCCCGGCTACTTAGGAGGCCGAGGAAGAATTACTTGAATCCAGGAGGTGGAGGTTGCCGTGATGCAGTGAGCCAAGATTGTACCACTGCACTCCAGCCTGGGTAACAAAGTGGGACTTTGCCTCAAAACAAACAAACAAACCAACCAACCATTTGCTCAACATAAAGTACCTACAGTGGTTTGTTGCCACACTGCTCACATCTCTAGTCCTTTAGGAGAAAGAAGCTGAAGACAGGAAAGCAGAAATGCCCAGGAAGCCAGAAGTGATCCCACTTTCAGTTTATTTCATGTGATTCTTCTTCTCAGCATGCAGTGAACTTTCTTGGGAAACCTTCTTTGCTGCCCCGGTTTACATTATAAATTAATTTACAAATATAGAGTTGTGCTAGAAACAATATTTATATAAGTCCATGATATTTTCATATACAAAAATATCCATAGAAAGCATTTTTTGTACACATACTATGGGGGTAGGTAGTCTTTGGTTGTCTTTCTGCATAATGTTACAAAAGTGATGATGTCATTTTTACCTCAATAAGCTGTTTAAAAGAAATAATTTTGGGGCCAGGCGTGGTGGCTCACGCCTGTAATGCCAGCACTTTGGGAGGCCAAGGTGGGCTCACGAGAGCGAGACCATCTTGGCCAACATGGTGAAACCCTGTCTCTACTAAAATACAAAAAAAGTAGCCAGGCATGATGGCGCACACCTGTAGTCCTAGCTACTCAGGAGGCTGAGGCAGGGGAATCACTTGAACCCGGGCGGGGTAGGATGCCCTGAGCTGAGATCGTGCCACTGCACATGCCTATAATCCCAGCTACTCAGGAGGCTGAGGCAGGGGAATCACCTGAATCCGGGTGGTGGAGGATGTCATGAACCAAGATCGTGCCACTGCACAACAGCCTGGGTGACAGAGCAAGACTCTATCTCAAAAAATAATAATAATTTTCTGCAGGTACATTTCAAAATAAAAATATTTTTTAAGTAATGCTGAGAGTCTCAGGGTGAAAAAATACACAGGGAATTAACTTTTTTTTTTTTACAACGCGATTCTGTTAGTTTCTAAAAAAGTTAAAACCCCAAACTAGTAAGGTTCACATCCAAAAACATGACATAAAGGCAATTCATGGTATGATAAATTCATTCTTGTAGAACACCGTTTGCATAAATTTGACAATTATCTGCATTTTAATGAACACCTTTTTCCCCCTCAGAGCCTGCAGTGGCAAATGAACACTTTTTGAATAATTTTTTTTTTTTTTTTCCTTGAGACAGGGTCTCACTTTGTTACCCAGGCTGTGGTACAGTGATATGGTCTCAGCTCACTGCAGCCTTGACCTCCCAGGTTCAAGTGATCCTCTCACCTCAGCATCCCCAAGTAGCTGGGACTACAGGTGCACACCACCACACCTAGCTAGTTTTCATATTTTTTGTAGAGATGGGGTTTCACCATGTGCCCAGGCTGGTCTCAAACTCCTGGGCTCAAGTGCTCTTGCCAGCCCGGGCCTCCCAGGCCTTACAGGCTTGAGCCACTGCACCCATCCTGAATAAATTCTGTCATTCAGTAACTAACGGATGAGTGTACCAGGCACTCTGCTGGGCACTAGGTTGACTATAAAAATTATTCAAATGATACCTTTGGGAAGTAAAAGAGACTCATCACCAATGGTCAATGAAAAAAAAGAAAGGAGTAAAAGAGAGTGCTAAAATAAATAAGATTAAATATCTTTTTAAAAACTGACCACAAATGGTTTATTGTATTACAAACTATAAAATCCCATTTCTTCATTATTTTAAAAATATTTTGTAGAGAGAGTCTTGCTGTTTTGCTCAGGCTGGTCTCAAACTCCCGGACTCAAGCTATTCTCCCAACTCAGGCTCCTAAACTGTTGGGATTACAGGTGAAAACCACTGCACCTGGCCTAAAATTCCATTTAAGAGCATTTTTCTTTTTTTTTTTTTGGCTGGGTGTGGTAGCTCATACTTGTAATTCCAGTGCTTTAGGAGGCCAAAGTGGGTGGATCACTTGAACCCAAGAGTTCAAGACAAGCCTGGGCAACACCGTGAAACTCCATCTCTACAAAAAATACAAAAAAACTAGCTAGGTGTGGTGGCGTGCACCTGTAGAACTACTCGGGAGGCTGAGGTAGGAGGATGTCTTGAGCCCAGGAGATTGAGGCTACGGTGAGCTCTGGTTTTGTTTTTTTTTTTTTTTTGAGAATTTCCCCATAAAAAAGAAAATTAAAAATTAAAAATTTAAAAATTTAAAAATAACAAATTTAAAATTTTACAAATTAAAAAGTTAAAAACAATTTTAAAAAATCAAAAATTTAGCTGGCCATAGTATACCCTTGTGAACCCAGCTACTGGGTGGGTTGTGGGAGCTGAGGCAGGACCATTGTTTGAGTCTGGAAAGGTCGAGGCTGCAATGAGCCAAAATCTCACCCCTGCACTTCAGCCTGGTTAACAGAGGGAGACTGTCTCAAAAACCAAACCAAACCAAAACAAAACCCCCACACACAAGCTATTTTTAATAAAATTCTAGTAATACTTCGTTAGAAAAGAAAATATTCAGGATACAAACTAAAAGGGAGATGATGCCAGGCTAACGATGACAAACTAGGACAATGGTCACCCCAGACCTTGGACTGTGGCAACAGGATTCAGACAGAGGAGCTGCCCAGGGGGAATGCACCAAATGACTTTTATTTCAACTAGAATCTTTGGTCAAATGAGATTTAGCTCCATTCCTTCCCTCTATATACGGAAATCTGCTTATGGAGGCTAGTTTCTTGGTTTTGCAGGAAGTAAAACACAGAAGTCACAAGCACCAGCTCTGGAACCAGACTGTCTAGGTCTGATCCTGGCTCCAGTTTACTATCAGTCTCACCTTGGAAAGTGGTCACAACTTTTTTTTAGCCACCTATGCACATTTGAGCTTGCAATCCTGGTATACAGTGATGATCAAAATAGACAAAGTAACCTAACATCTTGGATTTTCATTTCCCTCACGTGGAAAATTGGGGGTGTAATAATATCCACCACCCAAGGTTGCTGAGAGGATTGAATGAATTAATACATGCCAAGTGCCTGTAACAGTGCCAGGCACACAGGGCTGCTTGTATCGTTACCATTAAAATATACTATGTATCAGACAGAGGTAATCCTGTGAGTTGCCTATGTATAGCTCAAAGATTTATGGTGTTGCCTAGGACAGTATAATAAAAATAAAAATTAAAAATTAAAAAAAAAACACTTTAGAGGCAAAAGTCACAAAGTTGGAGGTTTCCTATAAAAAGTCAGATATCTCATTGTTCTATAAAAATCAGAATGCTGGCCGGGTGCAGTGGCTCACGCCTGTAATCCCAGCACTTTGGGAGGCCGAGGCAGGTGGATCACAAGGTCAGGAGTTCAAGACCCGCCTGACCAATGTGATGAAACCCTGTCTCTACCAAAAATACAAAAATTAGCTGGGCATGGTGGTGCGTGCCTGTAATCCCAGCTACTCAGGAGGCTGAGGCAGGAGAATTTCTTGAACTGGGACCTGGGAGGCGGAGGCTGCAGTGAGTGGAGATGAGGCCACTGTATTCCAGCCTGGGCTACAGAGCAAGACTCTGCCTCAAAAACAAACAAACAAACAAACAAAAATAGAATGCTTAATGCAATAATCAGAAGTAAAAAAAAAATCATAGTGCTATCATTTCTCTACCTTTTGGCTACGATCAAGTGTAAAAATCATAATGCTGGCTGGGCACAATGGCTCATGCCTATAATTCCAGTACTTTGGGAGGGCAAGGCGGGTGGATAACCTGAGGTCAGGAGTTCAAGACCAACCTGGCCAATATGCAAAACATTAGCTGGTCGTGGTATCAGGTGCCTGTAATCCCAGCCTCTCAGGACACTGAGGCAGGAGAATTGCTCGAACCGGAGAGGTGGAGATTACAGTGAGCCGAGATTGCTCCATTGCATTCCACCTTGGGCAAGAGAGGGAGACTGTCAAAATAAAATAAAATAATAATAATGAAATCAGAATGCTGCCATGTGAGAGAGAGAGAACCAGCTGTTCCCAGCAGCCTTCTGCTAGTCTGTCCCATCCACCCCCTACTGCTTCAGTCACCAAATGCTGTTAGTTTTCTTAACCAGTAACTTCATTGGCTTATGTTTTTTTAGCCATCTGTACACACTTGAGCTTGCAATCCTGGCATACAGTGATAAACAAAATGGACATGGTCCCTGCCCTCATGGGGCTCACAGGCTACCTATCAGAGAAGAGAGTGAGGCAGATTTCTCTCTGGAGAGGCCCGCATGCAGAGAAACCTGTAAAAGCTCACTGGGTTGTAGAAAGAGTTATCTACTACACCCCTGTTACTCCAAGTGTGGTCACAGGACCACGAGATCACCCAGGAACAACAGAAATGCAGAACTCAGGTCCTACCCCAGACCTACTGACTTGGAATCTGCATTCTACAGCATGTGTGCACGTCTCAGGTGTGCATACTCAAGTCTGAGGGCCTGCTCTACACCTCGGAGCCCTCTCGGGGGTAGATGAGGCTGTTGACCATGCTAAAGTTGTGGAAAGGGCTGCTGAAGGGGGTGCTTTGGCCCCCGCTGGTGCTGGCAGGGAAAGGGCTGTAATAGGATCTCTGGCTGGTGCTATTGCTGGTGCTGCTGCTCAGTTGCAAGGTGTCTGCCGAGGCCTCTGAGATGGAGGTTGCGGGGAACATGCCGCTGGAGGGCAGCTGGGCCCCCTGGATCCCTAGGTGGCGGCTGCCAGGGAGAGCCCGCTGGTTACTCACGTTGCTGCCGACACTCAAGGAGCTGAGGCTGCTGAAGAAAGTGTTGAGACAAGGGGTGGAGGTGAGCATGGGTCCTCCAGGAGACGAGGCAGTACTCTTGGTGTCCTCCGGAGGCTCTGGGGAGTGGGAAGCCCTCAGCAGACTGGAGGGGCTCTCTCTTTCTGGCTTCCCACCCACTCCAGACCCCAGTCCTGAGGAGAGCCCTTCTTCGGACTTTAATGTTCCAGCAGCCACTGTGGAGCCATTGCTGGGCTCAGAGCGGCGCTTTCGCTTCCGCCGGAAGTTCCCGTTGTCAAACATTTTCTCACAGTTCGGATCCAGGGTCCAGTAATTACCCTTTCCTGAGAAGACGAAAAAGACCAAGTTAGAGAAGGACCTATTTTATGCCTGTGTACTCAGTTTCAATTCTGGGGGGAGGAGTGCAGATTCTCATTAGATGCTGACAAAGATGCTCAATTCGCTCTAATATTTAAATCGATCCTCTTTTGGGGGAGATATTATAACTCTTTGCTTCAGGGAGAAATCTGGAACACTGATATTCTGGCCACCTCTACCTCCTCCTGGTAGTGTCTACTACTTAAAGATCTAAATTCATTTCTGAGACACTTATAATTAAATCATGTAACACCTTCACTAATTCTAAATCCAAATTGTATGAAATTGCAAAATCATGGAATGCTGATGCTACTTAAAGTTGACGCTAGTTAAAGTTTAGACTGGGCCAACACAGTGATATCTCATCTCTACAAAAAATAAAAAATAAAAAGAGTTGAGCCTCTGTTCTTTATTTATAAAATAGAGATAAGGACAGTACCATTTAGTAGATCGACAGGGAGGGTTAAATATTTCAGCATAGTAGCTGGCACACAGCAAGCAGTGCAAAAACGGTACTTATAATTATTATTCGTTGAAATGCGTAATTCCTCACCTCTGAGAAAAATGCCCCACTGGAAAAAAGGCAACCTCAAAATGACAAAAAATGATTGCTGAGCAATTGTTTTAACCATGCATTGGATGGCATAAATTTTGACTACGAGTAAGCTCCTGGAATCTACAGCCCCTCCTCAGTTTGGTAGGACCTGTTCCTACAAATCCTGCAAATATGTCACCCACTGAGCAAATACATTTCCAACACCAAGGCCTCATTTTTCTGCATGTAATGCTAGTTTTGTTCTTGGAAATTTTCTCTCACTATTCATCACAAGTGAGGTAGAAAAGATCTATCATCTTGGAGGATTTCACCTTCCAACAGCTTTTTTCACTTCTGGCAAAAAAAAAAAAAAAGCCGAAGTTTGAAACATTTATCCTGTGGTGAGTGCTTTACACGGATAACCTCAGCTACTCCTCACAGCTTTATGGAGATAGGCAGTATTACGGCTTCCACTTTGTAGATAGGAAAACTGGGGTGCAGACTGGTTAGTAACTTGCCATGAGAGTCAGGATGTAAGCAGACTGGCTCCACACTCGGTATTTTTTAAAAATTATTTATTTATTTATATTTTCTGAGACAGGGTCTCCTTCTGTCACCCAGGCTGGAGTACAGTGGTGTGACCTTGGCTCACTGCAGCCTTGACCTCCTAGCCTCAACTGATCCTCCCACCTCAGCCTCCCAGAGTAGCTGGGAGGACAGGGGCATACCACTATGAATGGCTAAAGGATTCAGCATTCTTGCAGGGCAAGGTGGCTCATGCCTGTAATCACTTTGGGAGGCTGAAATGGGCGAATCACTTGAGCTCAGGAGTTCAAGACCAGCCTGGGCAACATGGGGAAAGCCCATCTCTACAAAAAAATACAAATTAGCCAGGTGCTGTGTCAGGCACCCATAGTCCCAGCTACTTGGGAGGCTAGGCAGCAAAACTGAGCTGGCAAGGTAGAGGCTGCAGTGAGATGGCACCACTGCACGCTAGCCTGGGCGACAAGCCTGAAACCCTGTCTCAAAAATTAACACCTCAGCATTTTAAACTAACCATTGGGCTAAGCTGCCTCCACTGAACCATGTTCTGCAAATAGTTACAGGAAAAAAAGTTACATAACTACAATTTCAATAATCTCTCCACCTATCTGGATATGTATATTGTGCCACGTTGGTACCAACTTCTTCGACAAAAAACTAGCCATAGACTCTCGAACTTTTAGCGTGAAGTCCAGAGGAGTTTATATGACAATTTACACGATGATCTTGGGTGACACAGAAGTCAAATCAAGAGGATCCAGGATCCATCTTCTAGAACTGCATACCCTGCCCCAATACAGTAGCCACTAGCCTCACATTACTATTGGGCGCTTGAAATATGGCTAGTCCAAATCGAGATGTAATGTAAAATACACACAGGATGTTGACGACACCTGAGAGGTGGAGGTGAAGAGATGATTCACGAGAAGAGAGAAAGAGAGAATCCTACCTGAGGTTTTCAGAAGGAGCCCAGAACGAGGAAAGGGAAGGGGTCGTGATAGGAAAAAGGGAAGAGAAATGAAAATAACAAAGAATCTCATTAGCAATTTTTATACCTGTTGTATGTTGAAACAATATTTTGGATTACTTAAAAATTAACAATCATCTGTGGTTTGCATTGTATTTCCATTGGAGAGCATTTCCATCGGAGAAAGACCTCAAGGATGAGCTCTTTCTGAGCTCCAGAATATTCACATAATTTACACAAAATCCTGGACCTCTGGAATGTGCAACTAAAATGGTTTCATTTCTTTTCCCTTTTTCCAATCACAACCCCCTTCCCTTTCCTCGTTCTGGGCTCCTGAAAACCTCAAGTAGGATTCTCTGTTTCTCTCTTCTCGTTAATCATTTCTCCACCTCCACCTCTCAGGGCAGGTAAGAGAACACTCACTCCACAGCCCTTCTCACTACAGGAGCGATTGGGCTTAAACCCAAACGCAGCAAATCTGGGATATTCATTTCTAAATTTCTAACTAGTTAAGGTACCCAAACTGCAATTTGCAGGACACCTCCCTGCTAAAGTTCTCCCATCCCAGAACCCCGTCTCATGACGCCCATGCCACTATCTCAAGAGGTAGGCACCGTATTTGCTCTGCTCTGCTCAGGACACAGAGAGCCTCTTTGGAACCCGATGAGGAGGAAGTGTATCTAGGGACAGCCTGGCTGGTCCGTCGTTCTCCCACCTTGTCTTCTGTGAAACTCACAACCATCCCTTATCTGAGAGCTCACTTGTAAGTAGACCCTCCCTTCAAAAAGCCTGATGAACACCACCCACGGGTAGCCTCCTGTTCGGGCATATGGATGTTTTCTTTTCTCGAATTGGCCGGCCTCTGCAAGTGTAGATATAAAGGTCAGCTCCTTCCTCACCAAGTCTTCCTTCCGAAGATCCCCTGCTCTTTCCCTTTGTCCTCTGGGTTGGGTGGTTGTTCCTCCACCTGCTCCCACCCGCAGCCTGGACGAGAGTCCCGGCAGATCTTTTTCTAGCCGCACACCAACCCCTGCGCCGGCCCTCGCGTCCCGCACCTGCCCGGCCGCCCTCACCTGGGTCGTCCTCGTCGCGGGGCACCTTCTTGAAGCAGTCGTTGAGCGACAGGTTGTGGCGGATGGAGTTCTGCCAGCCGGCCTTGCTGCGCTGGTAGAAGGGGAAACTGTCGGCGACGAACTGGTAGATGTGGCTGAGCGTGAGCTTGCGCTCCGGAGCACTCTGAATGGCCATGGCGATGAGCGCCGAGTACGAATAGGGCGGCCGCACCATCTTCATCAGGTCCTCGCGGCTGGCCACGGACAGCCAGCCCAGCTCCCCAGGACCGGCGGGCGCGGCAGGCGAGGCGGGCGCGGCGGGCGCGGGCTGTGCGAAGGGCCGCTGCGCGCAGCCGAAGGTGCCGGCGGCGGGCGGCGGCTGCAGAAAGGGCCCGGCCGCGGCCCCCGGGGGCGGCGGCGGCGGGGGGGCGCCCAGGTACGCGGCGGCGGCGGCGGCGGCTGCGGACTGCGGGCCGCCCACACCGGGCCCGTTGAGCCACAGGTAGGGGTTGGCTGCTGCGGCCGGCGGCGCGGCGTAGTCCGCCAGCCCGTAAGGCGCCCTGGCGGCCGAGGGGGCGCCCGGGGCGGCGGCGGGCGGAGGCAGGCCGGGCTGCGAGTACACTCCGAAGTTGTCGCCGCAGTAGAGGGCCATGTCGGCGGCCGTGGGCGGCTGCGGCGCGGCCGCGGCGAGGGGCGAGCGGGGCTGGTCTCGCCGCTCGGGCGAGAGCATCCCTTTGGGGCCAACCCTGCGGCTCCGCCTCCACCCGCGCTGGGCACCCGGTACTCCGGGCCGGGGTCTGGTGGGTGCTCGCGGAGCGCCCGCGAGCCGGCCTCTTATAACCGAGCCCGGCGCGGCTCCTCCCGGGCGGCCCCGGAGCGGGGCGGCGGCCGCGGGTCTGGGCTCTCCACGCCCCCGCCACGCCCCACCTGCCCGCGCGCCCAAACCCCTAGCGCGCCCGCCCCGCCCCTGCCGCCCCTCCGCCCGGGCCCGGGAGCCTCCGGAAGGCCGGCGCCTCCAGGTTTCCAGCGAAAAGCAGCACCCCATTCCTAGCCGGCGTTTCTTAATCGTAATAAGTAAAGCCACGAACATTAAAACAAAGGGAAGAGGACCCGAACAGTACGAATGATTTCTAAAAAGTTAACTTGGGGTGGCCGCTCGGGCCACCTGCCTAGTCCTCCTTTGGCTTTTCTACCTCTTTCCTCCAAACCTTTTGTGATCGAGTTGCGGGACTCGTCCAGTCTCAAGCGATCGGCTTCCCGTCGAAAATAATCGATGTGATTTACAACGCTTTGGGGTATACAGTAGGGTTTATTAACGGGCCCCCTTGGCGTGTCCCCTTCTCCTCGGGGAGTCTGTGATCAGAGGAAAGGAAATCAGTTTTGAGTTTTTCTAACGAAACTGTAGGTTCGCTCTCACTTGGGGAGCATTTGTTCGTTTTTTGTGCGGTTTGTATGGGTTTTCGTTGTGATTTGTTATCTTAAAAAACGTAAGGGTGAATGTTTTCAAAGACATTTAAATAAGTAACTTCGGAATTAGCATCTTAAGCACGAAAATTTCAAAGCTTTAAGTAATTTAAACTGCAAGAAGCTCTCATTTACAAAAACAGTCTCATCTAACGGGCAACACTTGCCCTCTACTTTTGCTAAGTTTGTTGTTGTTGTTGTTGTTTTGCTTTTGCTAAGTTTTGAAATGCTTTTCTCTGCCCGGGAAAACAAATAAAACCTGTAAATGCTGTGGCGACCTCACATTCCGTGTAATCATTCTCGATTGGCTCGAAACAACAATAAGAAAACTGCTTCTTTTACTATTAAAAGTATTTCTAAATGTGTTCTTAATATGTGACAGGTTTGAGGTTCTCATTTAAACGAGAGGGAGAGGAAAAACTATTTGCCAATTGCCCACTGGCAGTTCAGAATATTTAATCATTCGGAAACTTCCCTTCTCCTCGAAGGCATTTATTTTTATGGTGAAATTAGTTATGTATTTTGGGCGAATTTTATTTTCTTCTTGTATCTCATCTCTTAAAAATGAAATCCAATGATATTTAATCAGCAAATGTGGATACCTAAAATGCAAATCACACTTAGTATGTCACTATTGAGTCGCCTTTTCTGGGACCAGAAGGAAATTATTGTCCACCCTTTAAAGCACTATTTCTATTCAATCTCCTGGCAAATGCTGTAGAGAAGAATAGTGTCTGTCTTAATTGTATTTTGGTTCAAGGACCTAAAATGTTTTCATAATTTAGAGAAGCCCTGTGTTGTTTGTTTTTTCTTCCTGAATGGCCTGAGATGAAGTTGTTTGGTTTTTTAAAATAAGGATGACAACTATGAAAGGAAATTGGAAAACATTTTAAAATAAGTTGTAATACCAAAATTTAATATTTGTCCTTACATGTAAACGTTTAAACTAAAAAGAGAAATTCCAAAAGAAAAGCTGGGAACCTAGATGGCAATAAATAACGAAAAATTTGAAACCATCTTTCTTTAGTAATTTATGTTCTTAAGAATATAATAATTTCTCTTATCTTTTAGCAGTTTGCTTGCCCATACATACTTTGCAGTTTTTCTTTAGAGCCAAATTCTTAGCCCAATAGTTCCAAATTATTCGGAATGAGAGACCATGATGTCAGATTATTCTTTTTTCTTTTGATTAAAGTTTCTACCTGAATGGGGTGTTTTGTTTCTTAACTGTACAATATTGCGTGTGTGTGTATGTGTGTGTGTGTGTGTGTGTATATATATATATATATATATATATATATATATATATGCCTTAGTTTTATTTAAAAATAACAGAGCCACCTAGCGACTCTTCACCTCTGTTACAGCATACATCTCTGTAGGGATCTGTGGGGTGGACGCCCCCTCTAGGGGTTTGGAAGTTACATTTTCTTTTTTTTTTTTTTTTTTTTTTTTTTTTTTTGAGACGGAGTTTCGCCCTTGTTACCCAGGCTGGAGTGCAATGGCACGATCTCGGCTCACCGCAACCTCCGCCTCCTGGGTTCAGGCAAGTCTCCTGCCTCAGCCTCCTGAGTAGCTGGGATTACAGGCACACGCCACCATGCCCAGCTAATTTTTTTGTATCTTTAGTAGAGACAGGGTTTCACCATGTTGACCAGGATGGTCTCGATCTCTCGACCTTGTGATCCACCCGCCTCGGCCTCCCAAAGTGCTGGGATTACAGGCTTGAGCCACCGTGCCCGGCGGAAGTTACATTTTCATATCTATTTTCAGTCATGTATTAATTAGATACAATTTTTATTGGTCATGGCCTGCCTGAATTATTGAATGTCAAAATCAAAATAATTGTTTTTGATCCCTGTTTTTTTTTTAAACAAAAAAAAAAAGCATTTGATGGACAAATAAACAGATAAAAACTGTGTTTAAAATGCAAGCTCTTTGTAATAATGTTTTGTTAAATTGCCTTTTACAATATAATCAAGGCAACTGATTAAGGCACCAATGCCAGTATAAAATAAGAATAGACAGTTGCAGACCCTGCTGGGGGCTCCCGCCTGTAATCCCAGCACTTTGGGAGGCCCAAGTGAGTGGATTGCTTGAGGTCAGGAGTTAGAGACTAGCCTGGCTAACATGGTGAAACCCATCTCTACTAAAATGCAAAAATTAGCTGGGCTAGTGGCGGCGTCTGTAATTCCAGCTACTCATGAGGCTGAGGCACGAGAATGCTTGATCCTGGGAGGCAGAGGTTGCAGTGAGTGGAGGGTCGTGTCATTACACTTCAGTCTGGGTGACAGAGCAAGACTCCGTTAAAAAAAAAAAAAATAGTAGACAGTTGCATGTTTTCATCACTGGAAAATAAAACATTTTGGGAAATTATTCAACCCAAAGAAAATATCTCATTTATTTTCCACTGCTGTTTGGTAACATACTTGTTGCTTCTTTGAAATGGCAGAGCATCAACAGTGAGTTATAATGGAATGTAGTTATTTTTAATAAATACCGCAATGGAATATAAAATGTATTATACTCATTAATTTCCAGCCTCCTAGAAATATTGGCACATTAGCATTTGTTAACATTTCTACGTATTTCCAAAGGAAGAAAACAGTAATATGAGTTGAGAATTGCCTCAGTGCGCTTAACTTCGAATGGCTGCCATCTTGGACCAACGTCATGCTGGGCACAGAATCGGTCCTTCGCATCTCAGCACCATGGTTTACCCATATCTGTGAAAAAGAAAAAAAAAAACAAACCCACAAACAGCCATGTCTCCTATCTGGCTTTCTACCTTGCACTAGTTAGTATACTTCTCTGACATCTTCAAGTATGTAAATCATAAGCTCTCTGAAGACGAATCCTTATGTGTAATTTTTTTTTTTTTTTTTTTTTTTTTTTAGATGGAGTCTCGCTCTGTCGGCCAGGCACCTAGGCTAGACTGTAGTGGCGTGATCTCTTCTCACTGAAAGCTCCACCACTCGGGTTCAAGTCATTCTCTTGCCTCAGCCTCAAGAGTAGCTGGGATTACAGGTGCCTGCCACCACGACCGGCTAATTTTTCCTATTGTTTTTAGTAGAGTCGGGATTTCACTGTGCTGCCCAGGCAGGTCTCGAACTCAAGACCTCAAGTGATCCACCTGCCTGGCCTCCCAAAATGCTGGGATTATAGGCATGAGCAACCACACCCCACTTTATAATTTACTTTTTAAAAAACCTTGCACACTATAGGATAAGCAAATGTCAATTTTTGAAAAATCGATTATTTGTTGAATTAATAAATAACTGCTTTTTTTTTTGAGACGGAGTTTCACTCTTGTTACCCAGGCTGGAGTGCAATGGCGCAATCTTGGCTCACCGCAACCTCCGCCTCCTGGGTTCAGGCAATTCTCCTGCCTCAGCCTCTTGAGTAGCTGGGATTACAGGCACGTGCCACCATGCCCAGCTAATTTTTTGTATTTTTAGTAGAGACAGGGTTTCACCATGTTGACCAGGATGTTCTCGATCTCTTGACCTCGTGATCCACCCGCCTCGGCCTCCCAAAGTGCTGGGATTACAGACTTGAGCCACCGCACCCGGCTTTTTTTTTTTTTTTTTTTTTTAAAGATGGGGTTTCACCATATTGGTCAGGCTGGTCTTGAACTTCTGACCTCAGTTGATCTGCCCACTTCAGCCTCCCAAAGTGCTGGGATTACAGGTGTGAGCCACCACGCCTGGCTAATAAACAACTAATGACACATGCCTTGTTGGAACACAAATGAGCTTATTCAAGGAAGTGTAAAAGTACACACCCACAAAACAAACAAAAACCCAAAATGGGACCCGGGAAAAATGTCAATAGCAAAAAAAGAGTAGAGGCATTATCCAATTATGGAGTAAATGCACCGCTCCGAAAATAATTTATTATACTGGTGGGAAGATTTTAGAAAATGTCTGCTTTTTGTTTTCAGTACAATATAAGAAAGTTTGGCCTTTATGAAACAAGACGTTAGGATAAGATGAAAAACAAGCAAACTTTGGTGCAAGCAGAGATGAAAAAGGAGGTGAGAAAAGAATGCAAGAAAACTTGAATTGTGATCAGAGAATACAGATTTTAGAGTAAGAGGCCAAAATATGTAAAGTTAATTAGTGCATTTATTGTTTTGATGAGGAAAGGATGATGTGTTTAAGGAAAGATATGGAGATAACTGAAGCT